CAAGGTCAAAATGCAGATACAGTTCTGTAATTCTCATCATTTGTATAATGTGATATTTCTAATCTGTGAAATAAATTTCATTGTAATAGTATTCAACACCTTGGTGTTGCAATTTTCACAAACGCCAGTGTATATACAATAAATCTAAAAACATAATACGACACTATTCCCTAGAAATACATTGTGTATTTTATTACCTAAATAGTACTAGACATGACGTACTATAGCGCGTCCGAGGATAAGAATGAAGTACAGGGTCTTATGGGTTTTTCCAGTAAATAAACGTACCCCCAGTTTTTAAGATTTCAAAACTGTTTTAAACCCTCATTAACATAATTTTTCATCACAACAATTACTTAGTAAAATAATACCTCGAATACATTGTGAATTTACCACAAATAGTAGAGAATACCTTTAGAACTTATTTTCTTTTGAAGGAAGGGATTCGTTCGGCTGTTGGATCAGCCTCAGCTGCGGTGCCACATGCTTCGGTTGCTGAATCATACTTGTTTCCATGTGTTTGTTCGCTTGTGTATAGTTGTGCTTTGTTTTTGAGATTTATGGCTTTAATCACGTCAAAGTTAAATGTGATTTCGTTTACTTTTCTTCATTTTGGTTTATAGGTTATGGTAAATTTATTGGTATATCCGCAGTTTAGGGTGGCACCGGTTCCTTTGGTTCATTGATTCGGTTCACTATTTCTCGTGATTCACAAGATTATAGTTGCGCGGTTCACTTCAATCACTAGAGAATAATTTTGCTGGCATTGATTCATACTCTTTGTCCGCGCCGCATTTTAATGCAAATTTAGTTTCAAAGGCAAGTTTTCTCGCTTCGCTCGCCCGTATCCAAGTCACGGCGAGGCTCGGGCCTTCGGCCCTCGCGTTCACTATAAACATCCTTGAGTGTATCCAACGCATAATTACCAATTCACTTTTATAAGAAAGCACTTTTCAAGAAAGCCTCCACAATTCAAACTGCGCAGTTGCCGCCGGAGAGGCGTGAAGTGCCAGCAAAATTATTATTCTTGTGAATCACGAGAAACAGTGAAACGAATCAGTGAACCAAAGGTACCGGTGCCACCCTAAACTCAGGATCAACCAATTTATTAATTTACAATCTTTTAAAATTTAATTTCCTTTTACTTTTCAAACTTAATTCAGAATGTACGATTCACCACCCGTAAAGTGAAAGTGTGGTAAAGTGCCCAATAGTCGAAATAAACAAATAGTAATTAATGTCTATAACTATTTAACTTATAATTATATTTTCCAATGGGATTCCTACGCAATGCCTAGGAGATAACTGTCCGTTCATCTGACGCCAGGCAGCTCGATTTCCAGTGAATCAAATCAGTTTGTTCCCGTGGGGCCGACTTCTTTTGTCATCAAAGCAATTTTAAATATTTTGTTTGGTAATCAAACCTTCTTATTTATTTACTGTTAAAAAGGAAACACGAGACTTGGCCTTTGTTCAACTGCAAGTAGTTGGTTTGAATTTTGGATATTGTATTGAAATAGCGGTGCACTTTAAAACTAATATTTCACTTAATTTCAATAATAATAGTAATAATAATAACCTTTTTATTGCTTATAAACTTACATAAACATCAAGCAAAGTCAGTCTAGAAATTAATTAAAATTACAGTAAGTTAATTTCATTAACTTTCAATTTCACATACTTTATAATTAGCGTATAGTAGAACCTTCATTGCATTGATATTATAATAAGGTTTATTTATTGTGCTCCTTGTAGTAAGCATCAAATATCATACGAAATAAATCTTTTATGTATTGCCAACCCATAGCATCACTTTCGTTAGGAAGGTTGTACCAGCAATTGTCGCGGATTTTCTGTCTTGTGAAGGACGGGAACATTTCACAATCATGATGAAAAAATATTTTTATCGTGTTCACGATGAATGTAGGAAAGTAATTCTAGGAATTCTAATCAAACTTCAATGGCATGTTTTTCTGCCAATAAAAATTATTTGCCGAATCTAGGAACAATGCTTTAGAAGGAATTACAGAACATTGATATTGCAACTACTTGTATATTTCACAGCTAGAAATGCTGAATCACAATCAATACTTATTGCGTTCGTTTAACTTGAAAATTTACAATATCATTAAGAACAAATATTTGTTGCAGTATAATGAAGAAGGTCCAGTAAAACCTGCTGGGTATACAATGTACAAGGTCGGCCTAATATCAATTTTTACCATCTCGGTTTTACTTCGTAAGAAGAGAACATATTGTAATCGTGCGCTGAAAATCGGCGAATTTTCGACAGGAAACCCCTTTTCGCCGGGTCCTGGTTACGAAAAAGTGAATAAATCTTGTTCGCAAACACACGCGCACGTGAATGCACACGCCCTCACATGCACCGCGCGCGCACACACACACACCACTCTCTTTCTTTCTGTAATCGTGCCCCCGGAACACTGCAAATTTTCAAGAGAAAAACTCTTATTGTCGGTCCCTGGTAACGAAAAAGTGGATAAATTCTGTACCTATGTATATATTGCCCGAATAATATTTGTCTACTTGACAGCCGGGAGTGGGGGAGAGCCATGTTGCCATTTACATGGGCGGCAGACACGTGGTCGATCACCTGTTGAGATATACATGTCCAAATTATTGTATTTGAGGAAGAACTGTAATACTGACACTAGTTCATTTGATGAAGTATTGTTACACAAATTTATCGCAGTCCCTTATACGAACCTTGCTAATGCAAGGAATAACGAAACATTTTTGCATAACAGCGCAAAGCAGATGAAAAGCAAGTACATCGAGACAGGTATTTAGGAGGAAAATGCATAGTATTCTGAAAGATTTATAAGAGAGGAGTATTTAGCCTCGAGACATTCTTGGCTTTGAGTACATACTTTTCATGGAACGTTTAAAAATTACAATGTGCAGGACTTTTTGAAGTTACTGAATTTACCTGTAATTGATTAAGTTTTCAAGGGAGCGTCCTACCGAATGCATTTCATAAAGATAAAAATTAGAAATGTCAGTTAAGGTGGATGTACGTATAGAAACAACCATACACATAGTGTCATAAGTATATCCCGTGCTGGATTTATAACATTTTAGGTTCCAGAACCCAAATTAATTAAGTAGAAATAATTATATATTTATAATACAATTTAATAATTATTCCTGAGGTACTGGAATGCCGTTGCGTCGCGTTCAGCCAGAAACCAAGCCCTGAGTATATCAGCTTGTAAGGATTGTCACTACATGGGCACAAAGTAACATAATGACATGACATAACTTATAGAAGACAGAGAACCGCACACACGAAACCCCTTGCGCGCAACCAAATACGTAATAGCGCTCGACGCATTTCAATTTGTAGTTGCTTTGGCTATGATATTTACTTTTTATCTCAATAAGCATCGGCAACTCTGTAGTGATATCACAATTTAAAGGCCCTGTTAGCCAGGAGCAGTCAAGCAGGCAGAAGTATTATTCGCAGTAAAATAGTGTGTGTGTGTGTGTATATATATAAGTTAATTACTTCCTCCAACACGTGGTGTATCTAGAGTTCAGGCTTTGTCCTTGATACCAAAAAAATCGATTGTCGGCAGAACGTCCGTCTGTCCGTCCAGACTTAGTGAGTTTCGAAGATATTTTATTTTTGAGGATACGTTACACGAAGCCTCAAAAAAATTTCAAAAAGGTTCTCTAAACACGTCAAAATTTTGTGATTCAACTTTGTCCTCGGATAGCGTGAAGGATGCTTCGTATTTTTGAAAATTACTAAAAGTTAACATTTCAAAACTAGAAAATTCAAGAGAAAAATGTTTGCCTTAGACAGAATCCGTTATAAAAAAAACAGCTCATTAAAAAAGATCATATTTCTTAAAATAATTAATTTCACATAATGTGTCGGTAATTCATGCAATTTCTAAAAAATTCTCAAATACTGCAATTTTTTTCTTCAAATTTTCTCCTCATATGTATCAAGGGATGGTAAAAAATATGGTGCTTGACCTATTTTCGGCGAGCTCTCGGTATTTGCAAAGATTGCAAAAAGTTCAAAACTACAAAATTGAAGACAGTGATTTTTGCCTTGAATTCTTTTCTAAAACTCTATTCTTTAAAAAGAGTAATGTACAATTTTTTGGAAAAAACAAAACAAAACAAGTAGTTTTGCATAATTTGTCTGAAATTTATGCAATTTCTAAAACAAAAAATAATTTTCTCATTTCTCTAAAATAACATGTGGAGACTCTACTTTGAACAAGAAAAAAATAATTAATACATTAAAATAAGTATTGATTTCATAACTAGTGCTAGTGTTCATTGTAACTGTATCATTTATTTTAAAATTCATACAATACTATTATAGCCTCAAGATGAGGAAAAATTAATTTTCTCGAAATGTCTCACAACAGTTTTCAGTTAATAAAATATGTAAACTTTTAAATTTATAATATGTGATTCTGTGTTTTTCTTTCTTAAACTTTTTAATAACCATGTCTGCCAAAAAGAAACTGTAGCCAAACTCATCTAAGTCATTAATAGTAATAGTGACAGACAATTTTGTTTTGTCTTCACAGATTCCCCAGAAGGGAAGCATAGTTAGCTAACTATAGGAATGTCATAAAATGGATGAAGTGAATGAGTTGTTATTTCATTAAGAGATTTATTACAATAATCTTTTGTAACCTAGAACAAAAATTAATACCCCAGCATTGCCAATTAATTCTCAATTTAATCATCATTCATTTTAATATATATATCTCTCTCTATTTTATATATATATATATATATATATATATATATATATATATAAATTCCCAAATTTTCGTTATGTAATTTATGGGTGGACCCATTTTAAACAATTTATCACGATGATTATGATTAATAAATAGAACTCACAAAAATATACAATATTTTCATACACTCTTCATTTTTTTTGTTTTTGTTTTAAAACACTTCTTTAAGGTTGCTTTCCAACAACTGAGGTCAGACCATTGTAAGTAACATTAGGAGTAATGCTAATGGTACATGAACACACAAACATCCATGTCCAAAGCGGATTGGAACCTGTGACCCTTCAGGCATGAGGTGCTACAGCTCTTCAGCCTTGGCGATCTTGGCTATCCAGGCTAGTTCTTCATTCATTGTTTCTCCCAATTTAAACAAAAGGGGCAGAAATAAATAAACTGACAACACTGGAATGTACACATCTTCATTTATTGATGAAAATTAAAGCATTCATTGTGTATGCAACACAAGCAAGAATAAAACAATATTGATACTAACATGAAATGTATTTTGAGAGAAACCTTTAGACTTTTTCATGTATTTTCTAGAAATTTGAAAACATAAACTGAAGGTGAATAAATATATATAATATCGAGCACAATGAATCTCAGATATTTGATGACTCCAATTCTGCCAACATAATCCTAAGGCAATCAGTCTTCTTGTGTTCTTAACATTAAGGCAATTTTTTTTTAAACATGATATAACATTCCTACGCTCTTGAATCAAGGAAGACATTCAATGCCAGCTTTGCTAACGTCTTTGGCAAAACAACAATTGCCTCTTGGGATAAACAAAAAATTGCATTTCTTTAGTATAAATGAACATCAAAAAGCAATTAAGGCACTATTTATCATATGCAAAAAATATTCCACCTTTCTGAGGGCAGAAGCATTAAAGCACAACTCTTATTCTAAAATAAATTAATGCAATTGATTACGAACAGCACTTTGAAAACTTAAAAGTTAATATAAATGGATTAAACCATTTAATATGGCAGTGACATTAAATCTCCATAATGAGAAAATATTCAATTTCTTTTATACATTATACATAATACATTTAAATTATTTATAAATTACTCAGTCACTGAAATTTCTGGCAGGAAACATCACTTGGATGAGAAAATACCAACAGCCTTCATTTAAAACTACTAAAAGCACATCAAAGTGAGGTAAATACTACCTAGAAAATATTGTCCTTTCATTCATCTATTTTTTCTTAATATGCTATGTTTCTTCTCAGATATCACAGGTGTGAACAAACTTCATATTGTACTGGTCAATCCCACTATAAATGCACTATGTTATTACAAGGCATGCTCATAGCATATAAAAATGAAAGCAATACAAAAATCCATGTCTTACCCAAAATTTTTTAGCCTTTTGATTATTCTGAGAGCATGAATATAAATCACTTTAGAGCCAATAAAGATTTGGCAAATATTTCACACAGCATAAAAACTGTTTCTTGCTCATTATTGCTACTTCACAATTGAAAAAATGGTCATTCCTGCCTTCTTAATTGTGGCTAAAATGTGCTAAATCCTTAAATGATATGGCAGTTATTGTATTTTGGTATACAATGACTAAGCGTTTTAACTAAGTAATGATTGCTTTAGTATGTACAACTCTTTTTCATCTGTCCTCTGGCCTGAAATCCAGATCACTCAAACACACAGGGTAGATCTTGTTTAGAAATGGCTGACATTTTTATGTTGCAATGAAAATATTCACTGAATTAAAGTACATTGCACAAGCTGGTGCAACATTTCAAACAAAATATAAATGCATTTTTGTTTATTTTCAAATTTTAATTAAATGCCCTCCAATAATTTTTTTTCTAATTGTGCATTTTTGAAAAAATTAGACATACCCTCAGTCTTCAACTAGCCAGTAAAATCAAAATGCTAGAAATTAAGTGAATGAGCAATGGCAAATATATTGAACAGAAACTCTAATTTAGAAAATGTGTTTGAGAACAATAACACTGTACAAAACTTTGGAAAACATAACATCTTTAAATGGTGAAATCCACCCTTTATATCTACTCTAAATACGAGATCTGATATTTAAAACTTGGGAACATTCTTCCCAAAACAAGGATCACAGTAAGCATCCATGAACACAAAGTTGTATTTGGTTTTCTTTTCATAACATTTCACCATCCAATTCTGCAAATTCTCTAAGAACAGCTGCAGCAAACTTCAAACGATTTGAAATGTTTTTCTCACACCCTACTTGTGCAATCTGGTGAAGCCAATATGAACAACTTTGTCTTTCTCCATTTATATAAGTTACTAAATAGCCATGCTTTCCAGCAGATATGATTATCTTGGTATGGTCCTTGAAGAAATTGATCTGAAAAAATAAAGAACATACAATTTTATAAATGCACAGGAACAATAAAATTAATATCATTATCATAATCACCATCATCATAAGGGAAAGGACAATGAAGAAATTTGACTTTCTTTGTTGTTTTTCTTTTTAGACAAGGGGCAGGGCAAGTAAAAGTAGTCTCAAGAAATTTATTTGAATATCATTGCGATATGTCAATATGCTGTAATGAGGAAAACCCGCGGCGTCCAACTTTCTAAAAAGGAATCACATTTTACATTTGTAAACACAGAACTAACTGGAATTTGGTTGTTTCCAACCACAATGATTGCATGGAAGGCTCTTTATTGCATTAATTACCTATAAAAAAGGAAAGCGCAGAACAGCATATAGCAGAGAGAGAAGAGGAGAGAAGAGAGAGGAGAGAGAGGAGAGAGAGGAGAGAAGAGAGAGGAGAGAGAAGAGAGAGGAGAGAAGAGAGAGGAGAGAGGAGAGAAGAGAGAAGAGAGAGGAGA